CTATTTCCTTCCTTGGTGTTTTGTAGTTCTCCGTGTAGAGATCTTTTACCTCTTTAGTTAAATGGATTCATAGGTGTTTCAGTTTCTTTGTTGCTATTGTGAAGGGTATTGAGTCTTTGATTTGGTTCTCAGTTTGTTGTTAGCATATAGGAATGCTATTGATTTCTATACATTGATTTTGTAACGAGATTTTGCTGAATTTGTTTATCAATTCCAGTAGTCTTATAGCAGAATCTCTGGGGTTTTTTAGATATATGATCATATTGTCAGCAAAGAGCAATAATTTGTTCTCTTTTGCCCCCATTCTAATGCCCCAGATTTGCTTCTCTTGTCTGATTGCTGTGGCTAGGACTTCCAGCACTATGTTGAATAGAAGCGGCGATAGAGGGCAACCTTCTCTGTTACCAGTTCTAAGTGAGAATGCTTTGAATGTTTCCCCATTCAATATGATGTTGGTTGTGAGTTTGTCACATTTGTATCATTTTTAGGTAAGTCCCACCTATGCCTATTTTGTTAAGCATTTTTATCTTAAAAGGGTGCTGAATTTTGTTGAATGTGTTTTCTGCGTGTATTGAGAGGATCATATGGTCTTTGTTTTTGCTTCTATTTATGTGGTGAATTACATTTATAGATTTGCATATGTTGAACCATCACTGCATCTCCGGGATGAAGTCCGCTTGTTCATGATGAATTATTTTTTCTTAAACACCTGAATTCAGTTTGCTAGGATTTTGTTGGCAATTTTTGCATCTATATTCATAAGGGATATTGGTCTGTAGTTTTATTTTTTTGTTGCATCCTTTCCTAGTTTTGGTATCAGGGTTATGTTGGCTTCACAAAATGTGTTGGGAGGATGCCTTCCTTCTCAATGTTGTGAAATAATTTCTGCAGGAAAGGCAGCAATTCTTTGTAGGTCTGGTGAAATCTGCGTGTGAAACCATCTGGTCCAGGACTTTTTAGGAAGGTTTTTTATTGGTGCTTCAATTTCAGTACTTGATAGTGGTCTGTTCAGGAATTCTATTTCTTCCTGATTAAGCCTAGGGAGGTTGTGTGTTTCTAAGAATTTGTCCATTTCCTCCACATTTTCAAGTTTATATGCATAGAGGTTTTTATAGTATTCATAGATGATATTTTGTATTTCTGTGACATCAGTTGTAATTTCTCATTTTTCATTCCTGATGGAGCTTATTAGAGTCCTTTTGTTTATTTTTTCAAAGAAGTAACTTTTTGTTTTATTAATGTTATTCATATTTCTTAATTTATTACCAGAGCAATCAGTGCTCCATCCTGAAAATTATTCAAAAAAATAAGTATAAAGGGCTTGAATTCATTAAGTAGCATTTGTTTCTCTGGATGGATAAAGGTATTGTCTCTTCATTCCTAATACATCTGATCCATGTAATCTAGACTTCCAAATAAATTGGTATTGAGTGGTTTGCATTGTATTTTCCTTTTACTTGTATCTCTTTGAGAATCCTTCTTAGGTATTTTGTACGTACATAATGTGATGATTTTGTGGCTCTGTGGTACAAAGACAAGAAAAGAATTTGCTTTGTGTAGAACTTCCCAACAAAGGAGAGCATTCAAAGAAACACAGACACCTGACTGCCAGTGCCTCACCTGTAGGACCTCAGCATATTCTGCTCCCTCCCTGCCTGTCTCCAGGGAAATGGGGAAAAAAAGAGCCTCTCCCAAATGCTACAAGTAGTCTCTTAAGGGATACTAGCTAGAAACTTGTAATTGTTTTTAGTAATTAGCAACTGGGAAAAAAGTTTTTCTCCAATGTTCTCAGTTCCCCAAGTTGGCACTGTCATTGCCACCACAGGTGAAAAGATAATTGCAGTTCTGAGGGAGGTGAGGTCACAGACTCACACACCCATATCTCAGGTCTGGCTGCCTTAATCTTCCCACTAGCCGACCATACTTGCAGCGGGATGGAGTTGGGGGTATATTTTCTATTTCAGTCTGAGAGGCAGAGTCTGCAGGGGAGGACACCTTTCCAGAGCCTGGGTAAGTGATCATATCACACGAAGGGATTTTTCTGGGTTTAAAACTGGTCTAGTGCTAAAACCGCAAAGGTAAGGGGAATAATTCTGAGGCATAAGCTGAGTTAGTAAAGAGAGTTGGGGCCCTAGACCCTACAGCAATCCCTGATTGCTCCTGATGTAATTTAGTATAATCTTCAATAAAATTAGTTGTTGCTGTTTAATCCAATAATAGTGAAATCTGTTTAAGTTCTTAAGGACTATGATTCTTAAATCCATCTGCTGTAATAGTGAAACCTGATTACACTTTAAGGACTGTGGTTCTGAAATCAATCTGTTCACCCTATTTTATAGGAATCCTAGACTAAATTGTCAGGATCACTAGGGACATGCCACTATGCTTGTGATAAAGACTATGCTAAATCTACAGGAATCAAGTAATCCTTTGCAGAAACAGCATATCTAGATAGCATTTGCTGGACTAGAAATGATTTCTCTTACTCTGAGAGTGTGAAGAACTTAACGAGAGAGTAATTCTTCTCTACTGAAAATGTCATGGTCTGTTGATTATGATAAGACAGTTTTCTCTCTTGAAGTTAGGGAAGCAGCTCTTAAGAAAAAGGTAACTTTATAATGATAGGTTAAAGATAGCAGGTCTCACCCTCAAATATATCTTGTGATATTTTCTCTGCTTTAAAAAGATTCTATTATCAATCCCCAACTGTATACTTTCAATTAAGAAATTATATAATATGCAAATATTAGTCATTCCAATTTGCAAATTTGATGTATTTTAATTTAGCTAAACACAACTCTTGCCCCATGGATAATAAATTATTTAACTCACATATTAATAGATATGAGTATATGATCTATGTGTATAATAGTTTAGCTTTTACCTTATACTGTTTTTATATTAGTCTTTCATGTCCTATCATTTAGGGCAAGACATGAGAATGTGAAGGGTGTTTTTATACCTTTGTTTCTCATTCAAAAGCAAATGCTCACAATGTTG